TAGTTATGCAAACAAATGTTACAAATATGGCAAAAATGGAAACATTTGGATTCTTGTGGTATGAGACAGGCTCGTGAGGCCAATGCTGTTTCAGTTTTGCTTGACATTTGTATGCTGTTTATAATGAATGCCACTATAGCCTAATTTGTGTTCTATTTTATAGTTTAATATATAATTTTATAACTACTTATTTTTCATTCTTGTTCTGTTCTGAATACCGTTAAATTTAAAATATTTGTTGTAGAGTGAGGGGAACTAAATAGGCTGTTTATATTTACGAGTATTTTAATATACATATAAATTACATAAATTAATGTAGCCTAATAGTTTGCAATTACAAGGTTAACGGGTATTTTTGGAGTAGGATAAATTTCTCTTTGACGAGATTACTTCCTCTTTTTGGCCGGGTTTCGTTCCTCCGTGTCGTAAACGCTAGGGCGAGGCTTCTAAACCAGGGTGTTTTTAGGGGCGTGATATTCAAATGACGATTGTTTTCTGCCGCCACATTTATCAACGTAAGATCATTCGTACGATGAGATTGGCGGCATACGAATGTTTCATGAATCACACGTGAACTCTGTCGTAAGTTGATTTGTGCGCACGGATCTGCGCTCGTTTCTACGTTAGAGTGATAAATGAGGCCCCTTGTCTCTGAACACACCGGGCTGTTCTTCTTGACCCGAACACCTGTCTGCCGAGAATGGTGTTCCCTGTTGAACTCTTCCCAGCTTCTCCATAACCCAGCAGCACTAGACAGAATTCTGAGAAACGCTTTAGGAAAAGATTGTTTACTAATTGATCTTTAGTAAAAGCCACCACCTTTATAGGAACAACATTATATAGCAAATTAGCTCAAAAGGGAAATGTATATAAATAACCACTATTAATTATAATTAATTACAATTATTTATATCAGCAGCCAGTGGTAACTAGCTGAATTAATATTACCATCAACTAATCTGTTCGTTCAGTGAACATTTAGTGTAATTTCATATCAACTCTAAGAAATTATATTTTCGTGGCCATAGAAAATAACTTTCTTACAGTAATAGTGCATTAGAGCATGTAATAAGATCAGGAATCATTAAAGCGACATTATCCACAAGCAGTGACAGAATCAGAAAAAAGTTTTATTTAGTCTAATAAACATACACACACACACTCACGCATACAGACACAAGGGAATTAAAGTGGGTGAATGAAACCATTAGAGAAACCAGAGAATGCAGCTATGGAAAATGAGTCAGTTGAACACCTGAGTGAAACATCAGCGCCGTTTTAGAACGGGGTCTACAGCTTATACTAAACCTCTGTTTCGTTTAGTTAACTGTACAATACTTGCATTGCCAAACAAATAATTCTGTCTGATTTATCCAGGCGTTACAGTTATATTGTGTAGGAACAGGTCTGACAAGCAATACTTCTGTCAGGAGATTTGCCTAAATGGGATTTGCTGTTTAAGACGTTGAGCTATGGTGCTCATGTGGTTGACATGGGTTCGAACTCGAGCTCCAATGTTTATCAATCCCATTCCTCCTCTTGCTCCCCAATACTTTCACTTCATGTCTCTCCAATACAAGAGTCAACAATCCCAGCAAATAAATAAAAAAGGGATTGCTATGAATAATCTGAAAGCTATGGAAACCCGTTTTAATAAAATAAAAAGAGTAATTGTGATGTTTTCTCTCAAAATTTTGACCTTTTTCGCAATTCTGATCCATAATTTATACCTCACAATTTATTTCTGCAATTTTTTCTCAGTGAACAGGATTCCATAGAAACCATAATTCAGTACTCAGACTGAACTCAAAATCTCTGCATAATAAATAATGCAGCTCGAATGACACAGCGTTTCTGTGAAGCACATTGAACTCTTAGCAGACATGGTGATGCCAAAACTTTCTCATCAAAATTAAACAGTGTTTTTCAAAGACAAACTGAGACCATAAAAAGCCACAAAAGAATAAACTCAATTTGCAATTTGAACTCTGTATCCCTCCTCCATTGCCACAATATTGTATGTATTGAAATACTATCAATGAGAGTAGCTCTTATCTTCCTCTGGATCATCCCTTTGACTTTTTTAAATTGCTAACTTTGTACTAACAGTACAGATGTGCACAATCAGGTAGATCCACCAAAAGATGTGTGTAGGGTTTTGCAAATGCAGTGGAAACATCAACATTTCAACACTGTGTTTATGCAGTTAAAATATGTATAGCCATAAAGAATATGTGTAACAGCTTTTTTTAGCTATAGCATTTTACTTTTCTCTTATATATATATATATATATATATATAATTTTTTATTTATTTTTTATTTTTTCAGCACTTTAGGTCCGTTTTGCTTTTAAATGTGCTACTGTATATAATAAACTTTGACTTAATATGACTAGACACAGTAAAATCAAAATAAAATCAAATATGACCCCCTTGGTTAACAAATACTGTAGATAATGTGGAATGTTGAATAATAATAACAATAGCAGACACTGCACTGATAACTGTAACAGCAATTTTAGCAAATGAACACCTAATTTAATCTTATGTTTGGTTTTTTTATAATAATAATAATAATAATTATTATTATTATTATCATCATCATTATAAATGTTGGGGAAGGAAAGTTGTAGTTCTGTGTTTTGCATTGTTCCTTTGCATAGTATAATAAAACTTTTACAAACTGAACTGGAAAAAAAAGAAAAAAGAAAATCTTGATGTTATTGTGAGTGATTCATCTGTGCATGTTATTAAAAATGTATTTTTTTTTTTTAGAAAATGTAATGACTTCATTTATTCTTAACATGCATTCTTTATATATGTCAATTCATCAAGTGCATGTTATTAAAAAAATGTAATGATCTCACTTTTCCACTGATGTTACTTCTGTCTGTACAAGCTATTTGTTAATATGAATGGACAGTCAAATAGCTGTTAAAGTATTGTTTTAGCATTCGTCCTGGCCCCATTGAGGTATGAAACACTCAACTGTAATGATCCACACCCAGAATGATTCCCTACATTTTTTTTCTCATTGGATATCATGTTTTTCTCAGAAATGTCACATTATGGAAGTAAAATGGGTTGCAAGCTTGCTTGAACTTTGGTGACTTGAATGTGTAAATGTGTAAAACCAGTATCTTACCCTTCATTGTACTGTTCATCTTCCTCATCTGTTTTTGTTTCTTTGCTCTTGCCTTTGCTTTCTTTTCTGATGCTTTCCTTTTCTGCTTCACCTTCTTTAGAGTCTTAGGGTCAATTTCATAATAATGGCCCCTATTTTGTGCCACCACCTTCTCTATCTTCTCCAGCAGGTTTGTGACCTGACTGCCATCATTCCAGTTCTCATTGTTGAGGACGTAATATCTGTTCCCACATTTCTCAACTAGCCACTGTAGAGCCTCCCCTTCACTCTCAATAAACTCTTCCCCTCACCAGTCACATCCCCCAGACAATCTCCATGGGTGAACAGCACTATGGTATGAGCCCACACTCTCTCACCAAGAAGCTCCACGTGCTCCTCCACTGATTCCTTCTCTGCTGCTGTGAATGACATGTCCACACACGCTCCTCCACTGATTCCTTCTCTGCTGCTGTGAATGACATGTCCACACACGCTCCTCCACTGATTCCTTCTCTGCTGCTGTGAATGACATGTCCACACGCAGGGTCAGCAGAAGCACGTGTGGTCCTGGTGGACAGAGAGTCATGCCGAGTAAAATTTCCTCTTTATTCAGTTCAGGAGTGTCAGCCACTGGGAGAGACTTCCACCAGCCTGGAGTGTCCACGTCACATGTCTCCCGTTCACCTCGCCTTGTCTTCTCACACATGTGGTGGTTCTCTTCGAGATGAATGATGCCATACTCAAAATGGTGTTTCCAGCTGAACTCTTCCCAGCTCTTCGGAAACCTAACATTATCATCCTCATCTTAGAAATGTGGAGATGTTTGTGACCTGGTAAAAAACAAGATCCATTAAAAACATTATTAATTATTTTTTTTTTAAATCTAAACTGAGATTAAAAGGATAGTTCAACCAAAAATTATAATTGTGCCCTCGTCCATTTACCAGCATGTCAATTTAAACTTTTTAATTCTTTTGTGGAACACAAAAGAAATTTCCAATCTGCTGTCACTCAAATATGGTGCTATTAGACATTTTGCATCAGAAGATGTCAGTCACAAGTCGAGAAGTGAGAACTAAAGGTATTGGGCATCTATATTTCTTTTCTTTTTTAGTCCAGTATATGTAATTTGAAAGCTACAGCAGTTAATTCCTCACACAAAGTTTGAATCACTTGAGAAAACATACAAAATGTACACTTTCTATATAATGATGTGTTGTTGTAATTTTGGAGTTCGATAGCACCAGATCTCATTCACTTTCATTAAATGGGAAACAAGTAGCCATGATACTCTTCAGAATTTCTCCTTTTGTGTTGCATGGGGGGAAAAAAAACAGAGATTTGGAACAACATGAGGGTAGAAATAATAATGAGAGAAAACAATGAGAGAATTGTAGTTTTTGAGTGAACTATCCCTTTAAAAATGGTTATCTGGGGCCATATTCAGAAAACATTAAGAATAAAATTATTCTTTCTTATTAAAGATTTTAGTTTTTTTTTTCTAAATCAACAGTGAAGTTAAGAATATGTTGTATTCTCAAAAACATTTCTTATGTATGAATTTAAATTCCTGAAAAGAGAATGTTCTCAAAAACCAATGTGAATGACCTCTTACAGTTGGGATAACCTTGTCTTATATTTTCTAGTTAGAATAACATGAAAAAAAAGATGTTAGGGAAGAGGAAAATATTCAAGAACTTTTTCTACTTTTCAGGAATTGTATGTTATTTAGAATGTTCTTAAGAAGCTCTATGTGAATCCGGCCCCTGGTTCTTACCTTGTCGTACAAGTGGAGTCTCCCATTGTTCTTGCACCATCTTCCTCCTCTGGTTTGCTCTCATGTATCTCTTCGTCATCATTCCTTCTACCTTATGCAACCATTTTCTCTCCATTTCAAAATGACAGCCACTGTTTCCCACAACCATTGGGTTTATTTTCTCCAGAAACCCCATAAGCTGCGCACCGGTGGCTCTCTCAGTATTAAGAACATGATATCTGTGTCCACATTTCTCCACTAGCCAGAGCAGAAGAGACTCTCCTTCACTTTCAGTGTGCTTTCCTAAAGTTTGTTCCTGTAGCTGGTCTTTATACGTGAACACAACTATGGTGTGATTCCAGACTCTCTTGCTCAGAAGTTCCAGGTGTTCCTGCGCCGACCTCCTGTGTTTTTCTTTGAATAAAGCATTGACACGTATGATCTGCTAAAGACCAGAGATGAAGCATTCAGATCAGGAGATAAAGCAGCCCTCAAAACAGCAAGAGCCAATCTGTCCTGTGGCATCAAAAATGCAAAA